CTGATTGCTGGGAAAACCAGAGCAACTCTTACAAACCACAAGAAGTCTGTGCGAACTCTGGTCCTGCACCCCAGACAGTAAGTGGTGTTTTATAAGGTAGCGTTGGTTGGAGTGGGGGAAACGCAGCATGCAGACTCCTCAAACAATGCATGTTCAAAATTGGTTTGTAAAACTTTGCAGTTGTTATAAATATAATGTTTTTACAGAAGCCCCTTCGACATGAGGCAGGTAAATGCAGGTGTTACTAATTGCATCAGTTAGTTGTAAGCCTAATTAATGTGATTAGTAACACCGTTGTTTACCTGTTTCATGCCAAAGTGAATCCTGTAATTTAAAAGTTTTGTTTGATAATGAAGATAAATTAATACTCGAGTCATGATTTAGGATTACAGGAGCACATTTGTTCATAACTTTAATTACAAGAACTCATTAAGAGTTGTTCTTCAGATATCGATGTCATATTTGTTGTTTTGCAGATATACTTTTGCCTCTGGATCTGCCGATAACATCAAGCAGTGGATGTTCCCAGATGGAAACTTCATCCAGAACCTGTCAGGCCACAACGCCATCATCAACACTCTGGCTGTTAACTCTGATGGCGTGTTGGTGTCTGGAGGTAATAAAGAGCTGCGGTGCTGTCTTTAACGGTCTGCCTTTTTTGTTTGCTTGTTTCAAATTATTTTATTGAGGCTAATGTTAACCTCATTACACGCAGCCGACAATGGAACTATCCACATGTGGGACTGGAGGACCGGATACAATTTCCAGCGTATCCACGCAGCCGTCCAGCCCGGATCTCTGGACAGCGAGTCGGGAATCTTCGCTTGCGTGTTCGACCACTCTGAAAGCCGACTGATCACGGCAGAGGCTGACAAGACCATTAAAGTTTACAAGGAGGATGACACCGCTGTACGCTACACTGTTACACTCAACTTGTATTTCTGTGCCGATTCTTATGCAGCAGGAAATAAAATAAATAATAACCATGTTTTCTTTCCTGCAGACAGAAGAAAGCCACCCAGTCAACTGGAAACCAGAAATCCTCAAGAGAAAAAGATTCTAGAGATTTCTTATTTGTTTTTCTTGCCACAGTAACAGCAGTGAATTTTATTTCCACCAACTTTTGTTTGCTCGTGCTTTTTCTGTCAGGCAAACTCTCAGCTTTCACAGAAGCATCCCTCTTTATTCTAAAAACCTTTTGCAGTCCTCGTTGTATGATGTTAGTCTGATAAAGCAGCCGTTACGGACTGCCAGGAACCTCCCCGAGTGTTTGTTCTTGATGATAACGGCTCTCTGATAGCTCTGATCCGACTCGTCCACCAACAGAAGCCACTCTTCACCTTCAGAAGGACAGACTTCAGAGTGGACCTGCTCCCTGCTCAAGTCAAACCCTTCAAAGGAAATGTATTTGGAAGTTTTAACCAAGAAAGAAAAAACTTGTATTGTTTCAGCAGAATTGGTTTTGTACAGACATGGAAAGTTTATTATGCTCCATTTGAATAAAGACCACATTTTTCACATGGCTGCATTTGTTCAGTTGAGGTGGGTTTTGTGTACTCACCGAGGTATCCGTGGGTGAAGACGTTCCTGTAGTACTTACAGCCGTCACCCTTGATCTCCTCCCAGTAGCACTCATCTCCACAGCACTCGCTGAGCTCCACTGTGGTTCTGCTTTCAGCAGCTCTCCGCATTATCTGCTCGCCTGTGAGGTCAAGTTGGAACAGCAGAAATGTTAG